TGTGTCGTAGTGCTGCCTTTATTGGCGGTTTCCGAGAAATCGCCACTCAAAAAACGATAATTTTCGAAATTCCGAAAAAAATCCACAACACAATAGGGCGTCAAATCATTTTTGTTATTTTAAGATTCGCCCACTTATTCCAAGTTTAATGAACGTACAGTTTTGATGTATGACCAAGAGAGAAAAGTATTTGATGAATTATCCAGTAAATTCAGTTGAAATACCAAACCGTTTTCCAATATGTTATATCTACATAGTTAATAAAATTGAAAATTATACGCTATTTTTGGTATTATATATGGCCAAGTCAAAACGTGCTGCTATTGTTCTGACATATAAAAATCGAATCTATAAGGTATCTGCTTTTCCCCGAATGTGTTGTAGTGCTGCCTTTATTGGCGGTTTTCGAGAAATCGCTATTTCAAATACGATAATTTTTTGAAATTTTGAAATAATCCACAAGGGGACGTAAAATGTTTTTTGGTATTTTATACTTTTCGCAACTTATTCAAAGTTTAATGAACGTAAAGTATATATGTATGTCCAAGAGAAAAATATGTTCCATTAGATGTCTAGTAAATTTAGTTGAAATACCAAACGGTTTTTAAATATGTCACGTCTGCATTGTTTATAAAATTTTGAATTCACGCTATGTTTGGTATTATATATGGCCAAGTCAAAACGTGCTGCTACTGTTCCAACATAATAAAATCCAATCTATAAGGTACCTGCTTTTCTCCGAATGTGTCGTAGTGCTGCCTTTATTGGCGGTTTTTGAGAAATCGCCTTTTCAAAAACGATAATTTTTTGAAATTCCGAAAAAAATCCACAACACAATAGGGCGTCAAATCGTTTTTTGGTAGTTTAAGATTCGCCCACTTATTTCAAGTTTAATGAACGTACGGTTTGATGTATGACCAAGAGAAAAAAGTATTTGATAAATTATCCAGTAAATTTAGTTGAAATACCAAACGGTTTTCAAATATGTTACGTCTGCATTGTTTATAAAATTTTGAATACACGCTGTTTAGTATTATATATGGCCAAGTCAAAACGTGCTGCTACTGTTCTGACATATCAAAATCAAATCTATAAGAAATCTGCTTTTCTCCGAATGTGTCGTGGTGCTGCCTTTATTGGCGGTTTTCGAGAAATCGACGTTTTAAATACGATAATTTTTCGAAACTTCGTATTTGCGGAATACTTGAAAATTCATTTTTCGCTCAGTTGGTCTTTTCCTAAACACTATATTTTTTGTCAAATTTATTGTATTCAGTCAGTTTGAAGATTTTTCATGTATTTCCGTGCTAAAATTATATTTTGATCAACTTTTTCAATTTTATATGTAACTATAAGTGAACACTATTTGCGCGTATAACCTATATTCAATGTGTAAAAATATTCTGGCTGGAAGTGCTGCTAGCTTCACAGTGGTGGTAATCCGGTATGTATATGATGATTACAGGCAGAATACAGAAACACGGTGCCGGCACTGCTGGCGCTACAGAACCCACAAAGCCACCTTTGTGGCTGCGAAGCTAGCAGCAAAATACGAAATTGGAGCTGACAGAATCGTAGAAAATCCCCATGCGTAAAAACTAATGTTTCAAGTCGTTTTTGGAAGAAAGTGTATATTTTGATTATTTTGTACAATAGCAAATAGAGTAAAACAATCAGTAACTACATGACTCATCTTGTTGATATATAGTAAACAAGCTAAAACGACTGTAAAAGTAAATATTGTAATTCCATGCTTCATCAAAATGATTGAATTTCCGTCGTTTTAAGACGGTCATTTCCCAAAAACCTCCAACAAAGGCAGCATCACAACACGACGGGAAAAAAGCAGAAACCTTATAGAACAGTATCAGCATGTTTTGACTTGGCTATATATATTACAAAACAGAGCGTATTTTTCAATTTTATGAACAATGTAGACGTTACATATTTATTTAAAAAGGGTTTTGTACTTCAACGAATTTACTGAATATTTATTCCTCTTTGTCATACATCAATACTGTACGTCAATTGAACTTGGAAAAAATTGCAGAGAGTATACAATTTATTAAATCAATTTACGCCCTCTCGTGAATTTCTTTCAAAATATAGAAAAATTATTGATTTTTGAATGGGCAATTTCTCGAAAACCGCCAATAAAGGCAGGTACATTCGGAGAAAAGAAGAACACTTACAGATTTTATTTTATTATGACCGAACGGTAGCAGCACGTTTTGACTCGGCCATATATCATACCAAACATAGCGTATGTTCTTCAATTTTATGAAAAATGTTGAGATAACACATTTAAAAACCGTTTTGTATTTCAATTAAATTTACCTAACAATAGAAATAATATCTTTCACCTTGCCATACATCAATACTGTACGTTTATTAACTTTGGAATAAGTTGAGGAAAGTATAAAATACCAAAAAAAAACATTTTACGCCCTCTCGTGGACGCTTTTCAATATTCGAAAAATTATCGTTTATGGAGTGGCGATTTCTCGAAAACCACCAATAAAGACAGCATCACGACACATTCGGTAAAAAGAATAATAATTACAGATTCGATTTCAACATGGAAGAACAGGTATTTCAACTAAATTTACTGAATATTTGAACAATTATTTTTTTCTTTTTGTCACACACCAATACTGTAAGTCTATTAAACTTAGAATGAATAAGTTGCGGAGAGTATACAATAACAAAAATCATTTTACACACTCTCGTGGATTTATGTTAAAATTTCGAAAAATTATCGTTTTTAAAGGGGCGATTTCTCGAAAACCGCCAATAAAGGCAGCATCACGATACATTCGGAGCACAAAAAGGTCACTCACGGATTAGATTTCATTATAGCAGAACAGTGCAGAACTGATGCTGCCTTTGTTGGCGGTTTTTGAGAAATCGCGACTCCATAAACGATAAATTTTCGAATTTTGAAAAGAGTCCACGACATGACTTAAAATAGTTTTTTGTTATTTTATACTTTCCGCAACTTATTCCAAGGTTAATAAACGTACAATATTAATGTATTACACGGTAAGAAAGATACTATTTCCCTTATTAGGTAAATTTAGTTGAAATACAAAACCTTTTTGAATATGTTACGTCTGCATTGTTCATAAAATTGAAAAATATACGCTATGTTTGGTATCATATATGGCCGAGTCAAATCGTACTCCTACTGTTCTGCCATAACAAAATCGCGAATCTGTAAGGGTTCTTCTTGTCCCCGAATAAATTGTGATGCTGCCTCTATTGGCGGTTTTCGAGAAATAGTCTTTACAAAAACGATAAATATTCAAAATTTTGAGAACAATCTATGAGAGGGCGTAAAATGTTTTCTGTTATTTTATACTCTCCGAAACTTATTCCAAGTTTGATAGACGTACATCATCGATGTATGAAAATGTAGAAAACATATTTGTTCCATTATTAGGTAAATTGAGTTGAAAAACTAAATCACTTTAAAATAGGTCACATCTACATTGTTCATGAAATTGAAGAATACATGCCATGTTCCGTATTATATTTGGTCAAGTCAAAACGTGATTCTTCTGTTTTGCGATGATGAAATTGCATCTATAATAGTTCTTCTTTTCTCCGAATGTATCTTGATGCTGCCTTTATTGGGGGATTTTGATAAATATTGTTTAAAACTTGTACTAATATTAGAAACTTTGTATTTTGGAAATGCATTTTTCGCTTGGTTTCCGTTTTTCAAACACTATTTTATCATCTAAATTATTGTATTTGAAGCTTGGTCTTGTATTTCCATAATATAATTATATGTTCATCAGCCCTTGTGTTCGTTATACGAAACTATAAGTGAGCATTATATGCGCGTAGAAAGTATATTCAATGTGTCAAAATATTCTGGCTGAAATTTCTGCGAGCTCAACAGTGGCCACAAAGCCAGTAGGACTTGAAATTTATAACGTTAGAATGTTAGATAATGTATCGTACTGCTATGCAGAGTCATAAAGTTGTGACTCCGACTCCGGAAATTTGGCCTCGATATCCGAATAAAATGTGAACGAACGGAATGTACATAGGTTTATTCAAGTTCCTACTTTTTTTATACGAACAAAATCAGAATATCCTATCATAGAGATTCCCAAATGGGGCGCCGCGGCGCACTAATGCGCCTCGGTTAAACATAACTAATAAATGACTGAATATTTTAGATATTGTATTTATTGTAAATGTTCTAGTGTTTTTTTAATTGCTCTGTATATGATGTCTTTTACTTTATGTTATGTGGTGTTTGTCTCTGTAACTGCAATTCTATGAGCTGTAGTTTATTTATCTGCTGAACCATGAACCAAGTCTAACAACATGCGTGATTTCCGTTTTTTTAGTATTTTTTAACGAAGGTTCGGGCAGAGATGTGGAAGGAGAGCTGACATTGCTTTTGTTCTCTAAGCGTACAAGTTTTCAAGCTTTAAAAAGCGTGAAGTAGACACTAGCGACCACAAAATTGAGATTTATCTAAAGTCAGCAATTTTTTTTTCGTGTAAGTTCGCGTTAGTTTTTTTGGGTGGGATAGATAGCCGATAAGACGGCTTAACCATATGGCGAACAACGGCCTCTCGTCCGGTTACCATTCCATGTCGAGTATGGGATTAGATAGCTATTTGTTTTCGGAAGCATGGACTTGCTTCGAACCTGCAAACCAGCGCATGGTATTCAGACGGGCGAGGGCAAGGATATTCATAACGCTTATTACGTTAAGCCCCATCGCCGAGAGAAAAAGCCCGCTTCAGGAGTGTCCCAACTCCCAAGCTTTAATTTGACATTATTTATCGATTTTCTTATTTGATTGTCTTATCTTATTATTAGATAGCCTGACACGGCCAAACACCATAATGTTATATTAATATTAATATCAACGTTATAAAACGTTACTGGCAACTTGTATATATGCTAAACTTTTTTTTTATTTTATATCTTTTTTAAATCTAAACATCTAAAACTTTACTTCTGTTCTGAATATAACAAAGCTATCATTTGAAAGCAAGACGACTATTATCTTTTTCCAGTTTGCCAGCTTCTCTGGTTCTATTTTCTGTTCGTCAGTCTATTACATTTAAGGTAGCAGCTATTTGTAGTGTACTCTGCTAAGGGATTTCTTGAATGAGGTATATACTGAAAACGTAGCTCAGAATTTATACAGTAGACAGAGACAGTTTTCACAAAAAAAAACAAAAAAAAAAACAGACAGACTCAATTTACGAACATAATAATGTACACAATTCCAAAGAGATGGATGTGATGGATATCCTGAGTTATTTGTGAGAAAAGTTATATAAAACGTACTCAAATATATCAAATACAACGATTAAAATACAAAAACATTTGACACATGACTGAGTTCATTGTTCATATTAACATGGTACATGTATTCCGATTTTATCTCAACTTTGAATGGTTTGCCATCTTGGTCTTTTGCAGTTATCCAACAACTAAAATGAAAATGAGTGATGAATGTATATCCATTTATTGATGAAAAACGGCATTTTCGTGAAATGTTAAGGGCTAAAATACTTGAAATGTCGACTGTCAAAGCACGGGCACTGAGCTGTGATTAAAACTGACTAGTACCAACACAAATTTAACAACGAAAAGATTTCTCGTAAATATGGCCTGACTGTGATATCAGACTAAACTCGTTAGTTGAAATTAACATAATCCTACAATGTTCAATATTTGAAATCTTATTGGACACGTAGTGGACATAACGATCGTTTCAATATTATGTTGTTCTTGTTGTTATTTGACACAGAATAACACACCTAGTGGAAATATTGAAAAACCGCTTTTCTCTTCGAATACTGGACCAATTGCTTTGAAATTTTCAGTGGTTGAAGATAAAAATTTTCCCCAGAAGGCTATTACTTTTATTCATTTTAAATATTTCTGTTAGCTCTGTGAGATTTGTTTTCGTTTGCTATGACGTCATTAAACGTTCTGCGGACATCGGACGCCATTTTGTGTCCTACTGTACTGCTTCGCTTGGTGTGAATATATTTGTAGACTGTGATCTGACGGTACGGTAAACCGTGCTGTACTGCGAACAGACGTGTTCATATATTTGGGCGTAGCGTTTCTTTTAATATTTCCACTAGGTGTGTTATTCTGTGTCAAATAACAACAAGAACAACATAATATTGAAACGATCGTTATGTCCACTACGTGTAGTAACTCTCTTGTTTTATTTATATTCTTACCTCCTGTCAGATCTTGTTAGATGACACAAAGTATATATAGCAAATTCCCATTCCGGTGAAGCACCAACAAATATTGAAGTTACTCCGGTAGCTCCGTTCCAGTCATATTTTAACCTTTGAAATCGCTGGCAAAATATGGGGAATTTAAAGGTTTAAATTATATTGCCTCCACCTTTTTGTACTCAGATATACGACATATATCATTCCTATTTTTATTCACCCACAGAAAATTTAAATTTGCACGAATCCAATATGCTATATATTATATATACCACCTTTTTGGCAAGCTCATTTTGTGAAATTTTTGATTCTAGAGACAGGATTAAGCTTGATAAGTTATAATGCAATATTTAATATATACATAACTTATATGTGTTATCATAAAAAGCATATTGATTTTGGCGAAAATTGCACTCATATCAGATTAAATAGGGCAAGACAAAAGTAGTTCCCTTTTTCATTCTTGCAAACAAATAAAACGATAGCATATTTGAATCCAAACATATTGCATTAATGATTCATCCCACCTGTCGTGATTCAGTATTATTGATTGTTTGCAACTTGATTTCACCAGATTTCTCGAGTTGATGAAGGCGATACCAGTTGTTTAACCCAATTCCAGCTCCATTGTGAGTTTCCCCCACAAAGACGTTTTCTAACCTGTAAATCATGAAAATTAATAATTCTCCAACCTGGCGATATTTTACACAAAAAAAATCTAGATTTACCCATTAGATCCTTTTTCCAACATGCCATGCCTTTTAAATTTAAACGACCACATTCGTCTGAGTAGATGCCTGAATTCCCATTTGTAACCGCAACCTGCAAGGCCTGGGAAATTATATAAGCATTGTTAACATTACTTTTTTGAATGTTTTTTTTGCATGTTATTAGCATTATTTAAAAAAAATGACGTAATGGTAAAACAAGCCATTTATATGATATATTTTGAAAACAGTTTATAATTTTCAACAACATAGTCTTGAACAGATACAGTTTCAGATTCGAATAATTCAAAAATACTTGCCCTTCATTCTTAAAAATTTGTAGACTATATTTCCAATCTTTGATTGCACAAAATAGTTGATAAGCCGAACTTCTTCCTTACGCTCTAAATACTCGTATGGTTCTTTCGTTTCCCAATCTTGTTCATAATTATCAAAAATAGCTGATAACTGAACAAAACCTTCATGATTTGACACCATATCGTTGACGTACGAAAAGTATCTTAAATAATTTAATTATTCTGTTTAGGCCATGGCATTGAAAAATCTTTCACTCACGTGTCTATCTATATATATATTGATAAAACGAAATTTTTCGTGTCCGGCAGTGTTCTCAACGGTAGCTTGAGCATGAGGCTTAAAACCATACGTAACCTACGTCGCCACTATGATCAGTCGAGTTAGTGACTGGGTAATGGATTAGATTGGACATGACTAATAGTATATAACATTGAAAACTGGCATTCTATATCGACAGTTATAGCAGTTGACAATCAAGCAAATGCAACCGAAGCCAGGCCAAGCAAATACAAATAGTTATTTATTTGCCTTTTCGTATTTCGATTACTTTTTAGTTTTACGATATATTATAACTTACTTATCGCCGTCTCTGTCGACTTGTATATCCAAATCATTAGCAACAAAACTTCTATATTCCCACAAAGATGAAGTGACACTGTGTAACTCATCGTCTGTAACTGATATCACGAGTATGTATATGTAATACAATTTGGCAAAACGAGATATCTTAACTAATATCGTACATTAAAGTTGAAACCAATGTTTATTTCATTTGAAGTTAAATAGAATCTATATCGCCAATATTAGCTTAACAAACATTTGGAATTAACCCATAAACTTACCACACGTATCACTGTGAAACATGCATTGTTCGCAAGAAAATATGTTTTTTGATGTCGACTTGCACGAAGAAGAGCAAGAAAACCTAAAAATTGAAGTTTGGTAAGGAAGAGGTTTATTGTAAAGTAGTTCTCATGATTGTATGACCAAAGTACTCATCAGGAAACCACTTGGTCACTGTGCAGGTGATTGTGTTTTATGCATGAACAAGAGAGAAAATATATGGTCAATTAAATTAACTCTGGACAACCGTGACGTATGCGGCCACAATTTTGGAATAACAGTATTCGCATGAACTGAAATCAATCAGCAAAATTTCGGAGGAATATCGAATTTCATAGGAAGATGGAAAAATTAAAAGATGTAGCCTTCAGGCGACTACACAATTTTCAATTATTGAAAATTTGAAATCGATTAGTTCGTTATTGCGGAGAAAGGCGATTTTTTTCGCACCAAAAAGCCGCCCCACGAAAACATTAACAACAACGATTTACCACTTCGTGCCAGAAGATCAATTTTGAATTTATGATATCTGAATGTGAAAGCTGTTATTCTTGACACTAATATCTAATCCTATAAGTTACGAAACACAATTATATTGATAATGTTTACGCGTCCACAAAATACTTCAACGACTTTCACGTTAAAAATAAGACTGTTAGTCACGTCTGAAAATAAATTTGAAACATTACGGAAATATTATTTTTGATAATTTCATCTGATTCTGGAACGTGTGAAATATAAGTTGTTCGAGCAATTTATCTAAATTACTGGCATGTTTTGGAAAAATTGTTTTAGAGCAAATTGAAAATGATTGAAACTCATTTGAGATTGAAATTTATATAGCACCAGTATCCGTATAATATAGTACAGTGCCAAAAACACACACTCGCACATACATTGCTAATGCTTAAATTTTAGATGATATTCGTGCTTGATTTTTTGTAAGATTCAAATGATTCAGTATAATGTGCTAAATTACATTGCCGAATATGATTTCAAGATTTCAGATTCCATACGCCTCTTACTGCAAGTTTTGTTTGCGCAGGTAGATTTTTATATTTGGAGATCCTACATAAGAAGTTTACCTATTGTTATCATCTAATTACTGTTTCCTAGCTTTACAACGTCTATTCTATAACGGTAACTTGAAAATATTATTCAATTTTTTTCTGAGCTGAATTCAAAGTCAAGGCGATCCCGATATGTGTGGGATTTTTCGAGTACTGATTTTTATCAAAACTACTCAGTGTTTAATACGTACGGTTTATCGTCGTTGCAAATTAAAATATAATCGGGACAACAATTGCCAAAGAACGGGCAAGCATCATCACACTGACATTTTGCTGTAACGTTGTACAGGCCTCCACATTCTCCTGCACAAAATCTTTGGGGATACTCGCCTGAAATAACAAAATATTCAATGTTATAGTATTGTATCAATCATTTTTTTAATAAAACAAAATAGCAACGTGTAGATGTATTAATAAATCGGGTAATCACAAACAAATACGTTTCTAAGGATATTTAGCATTAAAGATAAAACATTCTCCGATGACGCCCTCGGTTCAATGGTAAATCCTGACTTCGTATAAAATTATATGAACAAGCGTGTTCGGTCCAAGGCAACAACATTGCTAAAATATATACACAAAAACAAATGCTGGTTTATGGTGTAAAATATTTATCGTTATCATAAATAATAAATGAACGACTCGATATTTGGTTGGTACTAATAAAATATTAAGAATAACTAACTGCGGTATCGCAGACAGAATTCATACAACAGCAACTTTTACGTGTTCCTGAACATTGAAAAATTCAAGAAATCTAAAATAAGATTGTAAAAAGGATACTTGGCAGAATGAGGCTTAATTTTTCATTTTTGTTTTCGAATCATACTCATTTGAAAGGCCAATAATCGCTTACCACTTTGGCCTATGGTATTTGGTTTAATTTTTGTTTTATATAAATAAACTGTGTATATCCATAGGCCTCGGGCAACTTGGCATTTATAAAAAGTAGCCGTTGAAACAATATGAAGTGCTGTCAAGCTAATTATCTGGCTTATAAGAGGCTTTGCATTTCTTCTTCTTTATTTACACAAATTTTACCGTTTTTCGAAAATATCTTTGTGTCCTTGGCACACAAAGAATAATTTAGTCCGTAGTACAAAAGTATAGTCCATTATTGATGGATGATTTTTCAAAGATACATTTATCAACATACATATTTATTGTAAATATAATGTGTTGAAATATTGAAATTTGTCAAACATGTACTGTATTTAATTAATAGAATTTTGAAGAATCATACACTCATATACAATTGCCTTAGTATTTACTATATATATCTTTTTGTTTTCGTATAACTTTGTGATAGTATGTTTCCTTTTAAATTCAGCGTTACAATTTTATTGCCACTATTTTCTAGTAACTATGACCTATTTAGATATTTGTTTTAATAGAAAAGCGTGCCGAATTGTTTTTGTGAGATCGAATATGTGTTATGGAATTTACAATCATCTCTTTTTCATTTTTGATCAAAAACTATCTGTCATCAATTTTCTTTCAATTTTTCAATAAGCGCACAACAAAATGGTCATCATGATGAACCCCGCAGGCATTTGTCGCATCGGAATGAATCAATTTTTAATAGTTTTGTCACAAAATTGCGTTCAAAAGAATGTTGTTTTTATGATTCGCAATAAATTCCAATCTTGCGATTGGTTGTAGCATGGAATATATCAGCACACCAAAATAAATATTTATTTGAAATTTAAAGTAGGTTTAAAAGCTGGCATACACTCCAAGCAGTAATATAGTTTTATCATTTTTGCCAGCGTGTATTCAATAGAGCTGCATGGTGATTAATTAACATATAGTGTCGGTAAATCTTGGAATTTTGGCTCTTGCCCGC